GCGGGGGTGTGCGGGCAGGGAGGCCAGGGCCACGTGCCAAGGAGGCCGGCGAGCCTGCAGAGCGGCACTCCGCGGACACCACCGCGCCTGGGCCGCCCGCCCCGCACGCGGGCACGCAGCAGCAGGGCCGCCAGGCAGGGGCACCACCCACCAGGGGCCTCTGCCAGGTGCGGGGACCCACGTGCCCCCGACCCACGTCCCGGGCAGGCAGCACGGAGACCCTCTGCTGTGGCCCCCGCTCAGCCCAGCGCCGAGCGCTGCGGGGGGGCCAGGAGGCCGCAGGGGCTGCGGGTGCAGGGCCCTGTCGGCCAGCCCCCTGCACGTGGGGCCTGTGCCCGCAGCACCCCAGAGGCACCCCCAGCCCAGGCCCTTTGCCCACGGGGAGAGGCCAGCCCTGGGACCACTGCCTCCCAGCCGGGCCCTTGAATCGTGGAATCGCAGAACGTGAGGGCTGAAGGGAGCTCAGGAGGTCGCATCGAGCCCAGGCCCCTGCTCCAAGCAGGGCCAGCCCCAGCTGCATCATCCCAGCCAGGGCTTTGTCTACCCGGGTCTTAAACACCTCCGAGGATGGAGACTGCACCGCCGCTCTGGGTACCCTGCTCCAGGTCTTCACCTCCCTCCTCGGGAGAAAATTCTTCCTAATCTCCAACCTCAACTTCCCTTGCTGCAATGGAGCCCATTGCTCCTTGTCCTGCCGTCTGCCCCCACTGAGACCAGCCCAGCTCCATCCTCTTTACAGCCCCCCGGCAGGGAGGTGAAGGCTGCTGTTCAATCCCCCTCAGTCTCCTCTCCTGCAGACTCAATCAGCCCAGTTCCCTTGGCCTCGCCTCAGCAGTCCTGCCTCCAGCCCCACAGCCATTTTTATTGCCCTCCGCTGGACTGTCTCCAACGTGTCCACATCCTTTCTGTCATGGGGGTCCACAGCTGGACACAGGACTCCAGATGTGGCCGCCCCAGTGCCGAATAGAGGGGAAGAATCGCTGCCCTCGATGTGCTAGCCATGCTCCTACCGATGCAGCCCAGGATGCCGTTACCCTTCTTGGCACAAGGGCACACTGCTGGCTCCTGTCCAGCTCCTTGTCCCCTGTCCCCCCAGGTCCTGTTCTGCAGAGCTGCTGCCCAGCCCGTCACCCCCAGCCTGCCCCGGGGCAGGGGATTGCTCCTCCTCAGTGCGGGACTTTGCACGTGTCCTTGTTGAACCTCAGGAGATTTCTTTTGGCCCAATCCCCCATTTGTCCAGGTCCCTCTGAATCCTTGCCCTGCCCTCCAGCGTATCTGCTTCTCCCCCAGCTTGGCGTCATCTGCAGACTTGGTCAGGGGGCGCTCTGTGCCATCATCCAGGTCGTTGATGAAGATAATGAAGAAAACCGGCCCCAGGACTGACCCCCTGGGGCACTGCACTTGATACCGGCTGCCAACTAGACATGGAGCCATTGATTACTGCTCTCCGAGCCCAATGCTCCAGGCAGGGTCTGCGCTGTGAGACCCCCTGCACTGGCTGCAGCAGGGAGAGCTGCCACGTGCCCATGAGTGGGAAGCCTGGGGCTGTCACCACAGCCAGAGCTGGGGTCCAAGCCCCACTCCCCCTTCAGGCTCCTGCGGGCTGGACCCTGCTCTGGCTTGCGGCGCTCCAGCCTGGCCCACCGCCACACACAGCCCCAGGGACATGGCAGGACAACCCTGGCCCCGCTCGCCCCCACGACGGCACTGAAGCCCCCACAACAACATGGGCTCACACCCCTGCCAGCTGCATCAAGGTCTCACCACAAGGCTCACGAGCGCTTGCACCTGTCGGGCGGGCCCAGCTCCCAGAGGCAGGACTCTCCGCTCCCTTGCAGCCTCCAGCTGCCGGCAGCACGGGCACACGTCCCCCAGCCAAGACACGGGGCCTGGGCCTGAGCCCTGTGACCCTGGGCCTGAGCACGATGCAGACTTAGGCAGGCCTCACTCCTCCCTGCCGCGTCAGCAGGATCAATCCCAGCCTGAGCTCAGCCCTCCGCCCCTTATTCCCACTGCCTTGCTGCGCTGAGGCCGGGGCCGGGGCAGCAGGGGCCCTGGAGAACCCGGCTCTGGGGGCAAGGCTGGCACGGTGGGACAGTGGGAGGTGGTGCATACAGCTCCACACGCCCTCCTCTGCCCACCACAGCCTTAGGGGCAATGCTGGCTCCCGTCCCCTCCCCGTGCAGTGCCCCTGCCACAGGCCAATCTTAGCCCCGCAGAGCCACACACGGGCCCCAGGGCACAGGCCCTCGGCCCGGCGCAGCCCCCCTGTCCCGCCGCAGGGGCAGGAAGGCAGGGGCAGCCCCAGGGGCTGGGACCCTCCAACAGCGCAGGTGCAGCCAGGCGCAGCCCACGCCTGCAGCAGCCAGCAGAGGGCGCGCCCTGCCCAGCCTTGGCCCTCCGGGAGGTGCCCGCAGCCGAGCTGGGTCCGGTGCAAGGCGCCCGCTTGCAGGGCCCGGGCCCCAGGCTGCTCGGGGCTCCTGACCTGTCTCATGCACCCCTGCCCCAGCCCCCAGAGCTCAGCTCACCCCTACATCCAGCCTGCCAAGGGTCATGCCAAGGCCCCGGGGCGGCAAAGCCTGAATGGTGACTGCCAGGCCCCGAGACGGGCTCCCCGGGGCCTGGGCTGCAGCAGCCCGTGTCGCCCCCAGAGCCACCCACCACAGCCCTGCAAAAACATCCCCCCCGTCCCCCTCACAACCAACAAACAGGGCAGGGTTGGGCAGGTCTGACCGTGGACCTGGGGCGCCCGCGCGGAGCTGCAATCCTGGAGCAGGGCAGGGCCTGAGCCCGAGCCCAAGCCCTGCAGAGCCGTGGGTGCGCTCAGGCCCCCACGGACAACAGGGGCTGGACCACCGAAGGGTGAGATCGCAGGGCAGAGCTCTCAGGCACAGCCCAGCCCAGCCGGCTTGCCCGGGGCAACAGGGCCCGGCCCAGCCCCAAGCACCCAGCCCTGGATGGCAGGGTCTGGCCGCCCCTGAGCACCCAGTGGGGGCTGACAGGGTCGGGTCCAGCCAAACCCCTGGCCATGCAGCCCTGTGGCATTAGACAGGACAACCCTGTTTGTTATAGGAGGGCACGATCCAGCCCCCAGCCTCTGGGGCAGGAAGAGACACCTCCATGGCCAGTTCCTCCACCTCTACCCCTGGGCCGGGCTGAGCATGGGGTGGAAAGGGCTGTTGTGGTCGGGCCTGGGGCGTGATAGGGGTGCTACTGCCCACGAGCCAGGGCGACCTGGGGCTCCAGCCACCCCCCGGCACCGGGCTCCAGTGCTGTCCTCGAGCCGTTGCAGCCAATGCGCAGGTGGAGCGGGTGTCCCAGCGCCCAGACGCGCGCAGGGCAGGGCAGGGCAGGGCAGGGCAGGGCTCCCTGGCAGCAGGTGCTGAAGTTTGGCTTCTGCTGGGCTGCCACAGCCGCCCCCTCGCCCCCCCGGGCCCTGGCAGCGCTGGCCCCGCCCTGC